CAGCTGCTCAACATTTTCAGTTATTTGCTGTTGTATCGCTGATTTTCAAAATGCAAATGATCTGTTTATTTTCAAAGAATAGTTTGTTTTGTTATTGTTTGGTTGGTGTCTGATATGAAACTACGACATTGCGCTATTTATTGGACAGACTTGTTGAAGATCACACAGCGTAATTTGGGTGGCATTTTATTTCGTATTTTTCAATCATCTTTTTATTTTTGACTATCTGTAAATTTAGTTTCCTGCTCTTAATTGTGAATGCATACTTGATGGTTTTAAATGCTCCTGAAATTAAGTGCTGCTTGACGAGCCTATACAATATTATGTTCATGTATGTGACGTCACTGAAGGCCTAAGGTTGAAATGCATGGCCCGCCACTGAGCGACATGGTATATTTCTTGCAGCGCTCATGAACTTTGCTTGTTTCACCGTGTGTTCACACAGGCGAACAAAATACCCCACATTTTTGTTTCGAAGTGAAGGGTGTTTTGTTTGGAGATGGAGTTTAAGCTTACGTGGGACCAGAGCGCTGTCCGAGACCTTTTCACCACATACCAAGCACAACGGAGTCGATGCCGTTGCATCTCCGGTAAAAATAAATCCAAATGAAAGACAGCTTTCGTTGTATTGCCTCACACCAGAAACTTTGCTTGTCTCGAAGCACAAGGCAATTAGCGAGCTGCTGCTGCTACCTACTGGTATGGAAGAGTATTACATGATTACTCTGCTAGGCGATCGACCGCACAGGCATACAAATTGGATAATTACCCACAACACACCAGACAATATCTCACAACACACCAGTGTGCCACGGCACAGTGTTTGAAAAACATTGATCTAGGCTGCGTGCGTGAGCTATTGCGCACTTCACTGACCTGCTCAGCGCACACACTGACAGCTGGCGCGTACCACGCACACACTACATTTCTATCCACATTCCACCCCGCTTTAACCGACAAACAGGACACCAGACTGGGGCACGACTGAGGGTGCATAGTCAGTTGTTCTACGATAGTTTGATGCAGACATTGACACGCATTCACTCACACTCACCACACACAAGAAGCTGCAGACGACATGCGGACCGCGCCATTCAGGATATTGTTGGGGGAAGAGCGGCCTCCTCTCCCCCGCGTGTTCGTTGAATTTCGGACGAGGAGAATGTTGGTAATCCAAATAAAGGCTGGAGTCGATGAACAGTTCCTTCGAAGCTTTTAATAACAGAATATTCCGGGCACCCACGAATTACAGACAATGGCTGCGCGTCACGAGTGCGAAGCAGGAAGAGCTTCACATCATTTTTATACCATCAGAAGGGCGGTACCGAGACACAAAGTGTGATATCATAACTTTCGTTTCTCCTAAACCAATTCTCAGCTTGGTGCATTCCAAAGTGTGTGCGTCTTCAGCAGGGAGTATTCCAATTCTAGGTGATGATTGTTACAAAGACGCAAAGCTACACTGCGGGCATGGGAAAGTTATACAGCATGACGAAATATGAGCAGAATACAGACTTCAATATGCATCCACCAAATATGCATATAGTTTACGAGCCCCTTGAAGGAGGCTCTTTCGCGCGTTTAAAGGTCAGGTGATGAGGAATTTTTGTGTTATATTAAATGACAGGTTTTCCATTATTTATGAGTGGACAATGTGTAACCATAGTTATACAGACTGTCTAAATTACGTCTCCTTTAACAAAGCATGTGTGCTAAAATAAAAATAACAAACGAGCCAATTTTATTCATGTCATAAATCTCCATTCGATGATATGTCCTATTTGATATAAATGTATTTAGAAATTTTTCATAATATACGACATCATGTACCAATCACAGGTTTTGCACAGGTGTGATACTGGTTTGACCGCCGTGTGCATGTCTGATATTGCTCACCATGGTCCAAGAAATGCTCAGGGACTTTGTGTGAATGCTCAGACGGATGGTAAATTAGAGGCAACATTGTGTGTGTGTGTGCGTGCGTGTGTGAGCGCGCACACACACACAAATGTATATGTGTACTTTTTATTTTGATTCCAATAGTGAATATGTATGGCCATACACTTATTTGACACTTCATATAGCCAGCGTAGAATGACAAAAAGGAAAGAAATTGCAAAATGTACGATCAGCATTCACTTTCACTTACATCAATTTCTTGCATCATGTCTTTTATTTTGCTTCCTCCATCTTTCGTCTTTATTACTTTTATCCTGTCTTCAAGCATTAAAGCTTTTCTTAACTGCTTGTGAAGAGCCTTGATCTGCAAGGTCCGTTTTGTAGCCATTTTATACCAAGCAATGATGCCAGCCGCCGTCTGAAACTCCTCGCGAAATTTCTAACCACCTTCTCACAATAACAAATACTTCCTGTACTACTGCGCATGTGTAAGTCAGTGTGGTGGTTGCTGTTGCTGTTTCCTAGCTAAGCAGTAGCAGTGACTGTGGCAGGCTGAGGTTGGATTAGTCTTTTGCGGGAGGCTTGTTTTCGTTGTAGTGAACCTCATTGCGAGGTGTCTTGTCCAGGGAAACCAAGACAACAAGTATTATAAAAAAAAAAAAAAAAAAAAATGATGTCAGCAAATGGTCAGCATTCAATAGTACGAACAATTACTTCCATTTAGTGCTGTTATATGTCAAATTCCCATTACAATTCGCCTCTTTTGATCTAATGGATCAACCAGGAGAAAAAAAAAAACAAAATCACAATCCAATATGCAAAGAAAGAGGTTCCCAAAATTAACATCAGACTGAAGAGGTCATGTGGTTTGAAAACAGTCATCATTAAGAGGTGGGAACCGAAATTTATACTCAAGGGAGAGTGCAATGCTGTTTTTAATGGGAGACAGAAGAAGGCAGAGTGATAGCATTGTCGTATTTAAAAGTCTATCTCCTCTAGGTCAGGAAATGGAAGTGGGTCGTCAGTACGGTGATCAGGACTTGTTATGGATGGGGCAATCTGTGAAAGATGGGTTTAGTTCATGGTAGAAATAGTACGCTCAATCATGTGACGAACACACGGAACAATACAACAGGAGAAAACAAGAATCAGGAGGGGAAAGAGACCGATGGTCGGAAGCAAGTGGCGCAGCCAGGTGAGCCAACCTTTGTCAGTGAGCCAGGACCAAAAGTCCCTTGCCCCAGGGGTGGTGGTGTCTTCGGCCTTCAGATTGCTTCGCAGATCATTAAGGTGCTCGAGGGTAACAGACATGTTGGCGGAAGGGTGGGGGAGGTTTGGAAAATACCG